CAAAGCCCCTGGCCCAGGAGCTGAAGGAGCCCTTAATGAAAGCAACTCTGGGCAGCTCCTCCTGTGCTTGCTTAAGACAGAGCTGCAACCAAATGCCCAGCCGAGCCGGGAGCAGGGACCCCAGGTGCACAGTGGCCAGGGGAGAGATGGAGGATGAATGGACGTGAGTAGGGAATTGGGTGCTTCTCACAGGGCAGGACAGAAGGGAGACAAGTGGGGGATGCTGCTTGTTTCCAGAGGAAATGGTGCCGTGCCCTCATCCCTGAAAAATGAGGAGCTCAAAGGTGGGCTGAAGTGCAGGGGCAGGCGTGGGCTGCTGCAGGTTGCATTGCAAGGGTGCAGAGCTTGAAGGAGAGGGTGGCATGGCCTCCAAGACGCAGACCCCACCGTCGAGGACTGTATTCAAATGGGACTAAGTGAAACGTACTGATACTGCGGGAAGACAGAAGAGGACGACGGGAAAGAAATGGCAGACCTCATCTGGTGGAGAGGGGTCTGGCATAGACTTTTTCAGGAGTAGACCCTCTGAGGAGGGCACTGGGTAGGGGTACGGGTATAGAGATGGGTGCACAGGTGCGTGGTGTGAACTGTGTAACAGGTTTTTAGTGTGAGCTGCCAAGTGAACCACAAGGGCCACTTGGCAGAGTGCTGAGGGTGGAGTTCTCTCTCTCTCTCTCTATATATATCTATATATAATATAGATATATATAGGTATAGATATAGATATAGATATATACACATATATATATACACATATACATATATATATAATTTTGCAAAAAAAAAATGCGCTGCCTGCAGCCAGTCCTGGTGGGAGGAACACCAGTGCTCCCACCATCGCCGTCACCACGGGAAAGGTGCCTGCGTCCACACCAGGGCTGTCGATCCCATGCCCTCCTAGCTGGTTTTGGCCTCTCTGCTTATCCAAGCGGGCCCTGATGGGAGACGGTCCGTCTGCGAGGGCAGCTCCCTTTCCCAGGTCACTGCTGGAGCCGAGCAATTGCAGCTGGCACGCCAGCTTGCCTGGGGACCCTGCCGTTCTCCCTGGGAGGCAGTGGTTTAGCTGGCAGGCAGAGCTCGGTCTGGGACTCTTGTGCCCTTGAAGGCTCTGCTCCCCCACAAGGAAGTGGCTTAAAATAAATAAGTAGCTGCAGCTCTCAGAGATGCGGTGCACGTGCTGACAGCCAGCCTCATGCTGGGAGTCCTCCCCAGCCTTTCTGCTGCCGCCTGTGCTCAGAGCTGCTCTGGGAAAGGAGGAACATCTGCTGGGAAATGTGGAACAGACTTGTAGGAGCATCTAGGGCAAGACAGCTCCAGAGGCAAGGGAGAGCTTGCATCTCTCTTTTCTGGGGAGTTTAAAATACCGAGGGAGAGAAACACGCTTTGCCACTTTAGATAGGCTGGCGGGCAAGGGCCTCTGAGACCCTACACGGGGGGCGGCAGCTCCACGCACCCCTGCGTCTGCAGCCGGGCGTTCAGCTATAGAGACCGCTGAGTGGGCACCGGGGCACCGACCTGGGTCACTTTTAGTGCTGAGAGCATTTTGTAAGAAGGAAGTTTGCCCTCCAGGCCTGCTTTGCTCTGGCCAGGCTAGATGACCAGGCTAATGGGACATGTTAAACCCCCATTGGGGCCCAAAGGGACTCAGAGAGACCTCTCACATCTTTTGCTGTCCCAGCTGGAGGAAATCTCCTGAGAGAAGTTGATCTCTACTTTATTTGAACGCCTGTGAATAGGGGCAAGGAAACAGCCCTCTCCAGTCTGGATCCGAGTCTGACCCAAGTCTGTGGGTGAAGGCAGGGGCCGGGGAGGATCTAACCTGGCACTTGCAGCAGCTGGAGCTGAGCTGTCCATCTCTCTGCCTCTGTGACACGAAGCTTTACAGACCTTTCTTCCCTCTCTGAACTTTGGGTTTGAGGGGATGTCAAGGCAGAGGGACTGTAAAACCCGGGTGGACAGGCCTGGACTGCTGCAGTCTGCAGCGGGTGCAAGAGGTCAGCGGTGCTGGCTGGCAGGACAGAAAGAGCTCTGTGCGGGAGTTCATGGAGGAGGGGCAAGCGGGCGACCAGAGTCAATTTGGAAGGCAGCAGAGAGGAAGGAAGAAGCAGCTAAAATAAGCAGATGGGTGGACAGGGAGGAAATAATACTGGTGAAACTGATAACATAAAGGCCAGAGACCGGGGGGGGAAATCTGCTACAAGGGAAAAAGACAAAAGGCTCCTGCAGGAAATAGGAACAAAACCCCAGCAAGAAATAGGAAGGTCACTGCCGGGGTAGCTCAAGGCGAGGAGGACGTCCAGAAGCAGGGGGAACTCGGACCATCTGCTCGCAGAGGGCATTTCAATATCACTGCGCTCAGCTGGAACGTGGTGGGAATGCAGACGGCAGCGGGAGCTCGCTCTCCAGGGGTTCGGCCCTGACCGGAGGACGCAGGAGGCCTTGTGCTGCCTGGGGGGGGTCATGAAGGCAGCGTGCGGGGAGACTTACGGGGCTGAGAGTTAAGGGCCCGCCGGCTGCTCTGGCAGGGGGCGAACGGTCCACTCCAGCCTCTCTCTACCCCTGGATCAGGGGTGTTGGCAGCAGGGGAGGGGAAGGTGACCCCCACGGACAAGGAGGGGGATGTGGCAGCATCAATTTATCTCCACCCGCTATTTTCGGCTCCCACACCCTATAGGAGACCCCGGCTCACAGGGGGAAGCATAGCCCCGATGACGCCAGCCTGCTCGCAGCCCGGGGAAGGCAGGGATGTGACGCGGGGCCTGTGCCTAACGAAGGGCGGTGGCAGGCAGCACGCCGGCCCGAAGGATGAAGGACACGCTTTACAAGGAGCTGGGGGCTGAGCGGCAATGCATTGCGTGCTCTGCACAGCCGTAAATATGCCGCAGCCGCAGAGAGGGCTGACGGCCTCGGCAAGGTAGAGCAAAGGGTAATTGAGGGTGAAACAATCAGCATGGAGGCAGCCGAGCTGGCACGGGGGGAAGGAGAAGATGAGGACCTTTCCCATGTGCAAGCGAATGTTGGCTTGGGCCAAACCTGGCTGCGTGCAGAGGGGGCATTGAGCCCGCTCCCACCCCGGGGCTGCGTGCAGGACCCGGCCATCCGGCGAGGCCAGGTGCAGGCATTTCAGCTTTGCAAGTCTCTGGAACAAGAGGCTGGGAAAGGCGGTGGCGGCGCCTTCAGGTGCGAGACGGCCCGAGTGATTTATGGGCAGGCGGGAGGGACGTGAGCGCTGTTCAGCGCCTGGCTCATCTCAGCGCGACAGAGAATAGGGAGCAAATGTCAGCCGGGAAGGAGGAGCCGGGATCAGACCTGCAGGGATGAGTAAGATGTGAAAATAGCTGGCGACCGAGAGAACTCGCCTGCAACCTATGCCCGGTGCTGTCACGTGGGGCTGGTCCCTCCCCTCCAGCCGCAAGAGGCTTCGGGCACCGTGAGCTCAGGTCCTGCGTCCTGGATCCAGCCAACCGAGACCAAGGGCCTCTGGGCTCAGGTGGGCATGGGTCCCTTGTGGGCATGGTCCGCAGGCAGAAGGAGCTCTGGTCAGTAGGATAAGGAGAAAAGCAGAAGCCCAAGAGGGCTGGAGAAGAAACGACAGAGGTCTGGTCAGGGCCAGCCAGCAGTGTGGCCCCGTGGGCAGGGCGTGGAGCCGGGAGACTGGGGCTGTATCTGCAGCTCTTGCATTTGGTTGCAGAAGCTCATTTCACCAGTCCATTCACTGCCTCCTTTTCCCTTCCCATTATGTGGGGACAGAGGTTTGCTCTGCTTTGGGAGTCCTTGAGAGGCACTGCTTAAATGGTAGAGGTCCAGGCCGTGCTGCCAGAGCCAAGGGTTTCATATGCCTCCTGGCATGTGCTCCCTCTCTCTCTTCCTCCAGACCTGGGTGTTGACTCGGAAGCCTAATTGGGACCATCTAAGCATGAGTAACTATTTCCCCACTGACCAAAGGACACAAGGAAGGAGTGAGCACATCCCTGCTATCCACATCTGCATTATCTTGGCTTGTGGGAGTGCAGAGAGGAACATGGCTTTGCTTTTCCAGCCCCGTCTGCCTTCCGTGGCGGTGCCAAGGGAGGTCCCGCGCTCCACGTAGCGCGCCTGCAATGGCTTCAGGGAATGCCCTTGTCATCGCTTAGCAGGATCCTGGTGGTTTTGGAGAGAATCGGGGAGCTGGAGGTGGGGAAAGCAGGATACACCAGCCGGGGCTTCTGCTGAAACCCGCCTGCTTCAACCACTTCCTTGAGGCTGGTACATCAAAGATCCAGCTGTTAACACCTGCGGGTGTGAGCAGCACCACCCAGGCCAGCCCTGCTCTGCCTCCCAACAGAGATTAAAATGTTGGCACCCTCAGACACAAAGGGAAGAAATAAAGCTGGTGGGGAGGCAGCTGCTGAAATTGAGGGGGCCGGGGGGGTCCCCGGTGCAGTGAGCGTGGAGGAGCAAACCACGAGGCTGAGGTTCACTCCCAGGCACCCCGAGTACGGCGAGGACGCAGCGAAGCAGCACGTGCAGCCCGGGCCGTCACGCGAGGGCGACCCCACCGGGAAGCGCGGCATGGGGACCCGTGGGAGAGCAAGGGGAGGAAAGGGGTCAGCCCGAAACAGGACAGGGAGAGTCGGGGAGGGAGAACACAGGGCTGCGTGCAGGCGGCAGGGAGCTGGCCTTGCGGGCGGGCAGGTGGCTTGGCACGGCCGGGGCCGAGCCCGTGATGCCTGGCTCTTGGAGCAGGCCCAGTGCAGGAAGCCAATGCTTCGCTGGACAGCAGGATACACAAGGCCAGTCTGTCTCTGCCCTGGGAGTTTCCACATTAACCACATACTGTTTGCATTTGAGCATTTTCCCCTCGACAGGGCTGCTGCTGCCGGGGGTTATTTCCTGCCCTTTTCGTTCTCCCCCACCCCCCACCTTCCCCAGCTTGCAGAAGCCTGTCTGCTTCCTCTCTTACGCCCCGGGGGCTTTCCATGCTGCCAGAAAATAAATCTCATGCTATTTTTAACAGAGGGGAAAATGCGAAGGTCTCCTCCAGCCCGGGTCTGCGGCGCTGATAACTGCAGACAGGCTCCCCCGGTGAGATGAAGGAGGGAGAGGAATTTGCAGGGAAGGATGTGGGAGGCAAGCAGGCAGGGCACGCTGCACATGGAGCTTTAATCTCTTTGCCTTTGGGCAGGATATTCAGGGGAGGGGAAAGCAAAGAGGGCATGGAGGGGTTCTCACGCTCAGGCAGGGGCAGGGGGTGCGCGGGGGGCTGGAAGGAGGAGAGCAGGGGGTGGGGAGATGAAAGGAGATGAAATGGGAGAAGGGCACACGCTAACTCTCCACGGGTCTCCCTGACATGCCTTCCCCACTCCGCGCACCCCGGGAACTGGCTGGGATCGCAGCCCAGGCGCTGCACGGCCCCGTGCTCTGACCAGACGAGCGCAGCCCCTGGTTCCCGGAGGAAAGTCCCAGCCTGGAGCCTCAGGTGCGGCCGCCTCGACGCAGCCGGGCTTCGCGGCACATGTCGCAGGGGAGCCGAGCACAGGTCCCTCCGAGGGCGAGAGACGGGGCACTGCCGTCGCCTGCCCAGCACCCAGCGGACCCGGGGCTCCGTGCACCCCTGCTGTCAGCTCTGGGGGAGCCGGGTGCAAGGCGGAGGGTGCTGAGAGCAGGGTCTTGCCAGAAACTGCTGCTGAGGCACAGCACAGCCTCCCTGGACCTGCTCGCCCACCAGCCTCGTTGCTCTGCAGCCAGGCGTGGGGAGGCTGTGGGCTGGGAGAGCTCCTGCCCTCCCCACTGCTCCAGCCCCCGTCCAGCTCCGTGTCTGCGAGCCCCCAGAGAGGGCTCCAGAAAGTGCCTCTGAACCCCGGCAGGAGCTGGGGTCTCCCCGGGAAGTGCGGTGCTGCCACATCCTCGCTAATGGGCTCCCCAGGGGTGAACTGGAGATGGGGCTAAGCCGACCCCCCGCTTTGTGCAAGGCCGTGGCACGCTCGCCAGCCCAGACCCCTGCTCTGACCTCCCCAGACTCGGAGGCCGGCTCCAGGCAGGAGCACCGCAGCTCTGGCACCAACGCCGCGCCACATCCAGTGCCACGGCAGTCCCATTCGGGCCCGTGGGAGCTGTGCCCACGTGAAGCTGACTCCTCGGTCCCCGTGGCTTTGCTGGGGCCCAAGGGAGAGGGGGCCGAGGGGCTGTCGAAAGCACCGCTGCCATAGACGGAGAGCTCCCCTCACTATAAATAGCCTCCCCCCGCCGCGGTTCTCCGCTCCCCCCCTCCAAAACCCGCAGGGATGGAGACGATAAGGGTGGGGCTTGCTTGGCCTCCCGCCCTTCCTGGCAGGGCATGCCTTTCAGCAGGGCCATAAAACTGCAGTCCCATCCCTGTCCCACGCAGCCCCTAACCCCAGGGCTGGGTCAGTGGGGTGGGGGTCAGGGGGGTCAGGAGTGGGAGCTGCAGTGTTCAGAGCGGTCCCTGGGGCAGGCGCTGCTTTTAATTCACCGGAGCGACTCAGGGAGGCTGCAGACACCGTCAGCTGGTTCATGGGGCCATGGGGGCGGCTGGCAGAGCCCCCCAGGCTTGGCAGGGCCCGTGGTCTCCCGCCTGGGGCTGCGGGGGCTCGTCACATGGAGGCAGGACCATTCCTCTCCGGCGTCTCCCTGCCCCACGAGGGGGTCTGTCCTCGTGTGATGCTGGGGGGAAGGTCTCAGGCATGCGTGTGTGTGAGTGTGTGTGAGAGAGAGAGAGAGATAGCTTTGGGGGGGGGTTATGTGTGCGAGCTCTGGTGTGTGTCTGTGTGAGCAAGAGAGCTCTGGTGTGTGTGTGGGTGGGTGTATGTGTGTGAGCACTGGTGTGTGTGTGTCTGTGAGCAAGAGAGCTGTGGCGTGTGGGAGCATGTGCGTGCGTATCTGCGCTCCTGTGTGCGTGTGTTTGTGCGAGGCTTAGGACGCCGGAGTGACCTTGGGCAAGTCACTTCCTCCCTTTGGGCCTCGGTTCCCGCTAGCCGGGAGGACACGGCGAGGACAGCAGTGTGTGAGGCTCAGGTGCGCTGGCGGGGCCGCTGGCCTGGCGCCCAGCACCGCCTGGGAAGGTGCTTCTGGGAGGCTGCCTCCGCACTCAGGGCCCCGGCTGTCCCCACCGTCCCCCCGCCTGCCCACGGGGCCGGACCCTTGCAGAGGCTCCTTCCTCCCATGGAGCCTCCTCCCTGGGCAGTCTCATCCCTCGCCCTCAGATACATCTGCACACGTTTCCTGTCGGCACGTCAAAATGCACTTTCCTCCCTTCCCCGCCGGCCCGCTCCCCTCCCTTCCTGACCGCCAGCCTGCTCAGCACAGCTTCTAACCCTCCTGGCCTCGGGCAGGGGCAGGGGCAGGGGCAGGGAGCCCGGGCACTGGGCTGCATTTACTTAGCTGTAAAAGGAGCTGAGTTTCATTGACCCTTTTCTCTCTATTTTCTCCCAGATGCCCCCACTTCAAGGCTGCAGGCCTGGGCTAGGCAGACCAGACCCTGCCGCTCAGGACGTGGAGGCCGAGCATAGAAGGTGGGGATCCAAAGCAGCAGGAGGAGACGACCAGCCTGGTATCTCTTCCCACACAGGGACCCTGTCATGTCTGAGGGTGCCTGGAAAGGACGGAGAGAGCTGGGCTTTGTGGGGTGCAAACACAGCGGGCGCGTGGTCTTCCGATGAACTGTCGAAGGGAGACGTCGCTTAGTGCTAGATGACGAGGTGTTCAAGAGAGGATCGTGCAGCTTTGGGGCATGTCCATGGACCGTGCCCGGCTGCTAGGGCTGGGCTCTGGGACTGGGGCAAAGAGTGGGTGATGGAGCTCGCTCATGGGCTCCCGCTTGCGGCACCGATCTCAGACTGGGAGGCTCCTTATCCTCCCTATCCAAACCATCCCATACAGATCCCTAATTTAGCCTACAATCAACCCTGACACAACACACCCGAACCTGCCAGAGGCAAAGCGAGAGGACCGGACAGCCAACATCCTGCTTCTGCAAAAGGTTGTTAATAGGCGCTCAAGAGACCCCAGGGAGAGGTCCGTGCCCCCACCTACAGGGGAAGGCAAACACCCACATGTGCCAGGCGATAAAAAAGAAAACCCACGAGCATTATAAATTACAACAATTTGGGGCCCTTTTTATTTGCACGTTAATTTTGGAGCGTTTCAGGTTCACTGGTGTCACATTTTCTTGCTTTTCTTGGCAGCCAGGAGGGCTGGGACACGCCGTTTGCTGTGACCGGTGAGAGCTGAGGGTCTCCCATTCCCGCAGGGCTCCGGGAGCTGAAGTTTTAAGAAAAAGCACCGATTTTTGCAAAGCTCCTACTACAGTCATTAGACTTGCTGGTAGCGCCGGGGATTTAAAGACGTGGCCCTCGCCACGCCCTGCCTCACCGCCACGATGGTTTATACTCGAGACTGCGCTTTGTCCCCAACCGCTTCTGGGGTTACGGCTCGTACAGGCGATGCCGCACGAACACCGGCGCAGGGAATCGGGGGAGCGGCAGGGGAAAAAAAGGAGGAGAAGAGAGGGGGAAGGTTAAAAATAAACCCTGTTTCCAAGCACCGGTTGGCAGCGACACAGGACACTGGAGTTGGAGGTGAAAACGTCTAACCTAATAACGCTTCAGCTCCTGGCTCAGCCTTGGCTCGCTGCCTCCCCAGGGCACAGCGCCGCTCTGCTCTGGAGACCCAGCACTTGCTATCAGCGCGGCCTTGCAGGCTGCACCATTTGTCTGCGAGGGGAGCGAGGAGGTCGATTCGCCTGGCAACAGCATCTTCTCCCCGCTGCAAATGTTTCCCCAGCGGTCCCTGGGCTGGGAGGCTTGGAGCATCCAGGACGAGGCCAGGACTTGCCTGTAGCCCTCGCCAAATTCATTGCAGGTGCAGCCTGCCCCGGCCCCCTGGCATGGGCTCCCTCTGCACGTCAGGGTCTCCGGCGAGAGAAGGACCAGCTGGCTCCTGCGTCCAGCGCTCCCTTATGTCAAGCTCGTGGTTTGCAGCAGCTCTGCTGCTCGGTCCGTGCCAAAGATTTCTGGGAAAGCCTAAGCTCTGTATTTAAGCCCCCTGGTGCGTCCTCCTTTCATGTTGTCCTTCTCCGCTCCTACTTCCTGGCAGTGAAGCCTGGGAGGAAACTTCCCCGACTACTGTGGAGGCCAGCATAGGATTAGTCCTACCATGGGTGGTGCATCCTGCACTCAGCACCCTCGGAGAATGCGCTTTTTTCCGGGGCGTTTGTAACTCTGGCTTATTTTGGGGTCTGAGTGCAGGCATGGGCTGGGCTGGGCTGTTGAGACACATCTTTCTCTCCCCGAGAAGAGGAAGCTGCCTCCCAAGCACCCGGTGACAGAGCTCCCCCCACCCACCAGCACCTCCCGGGTCTGACGTGGAGGAACCGGGAGCCATTCGTGTGTCCATCACAGCTCGCAAATGCCATCGCCTCCTCCGGATTAGGTAAATCCCCACTGGCCTTCCTGTGGGATGATCATTCAGGGGGAATTTTTCTTCTGAGTAGGAGGGCAGGGGCGCTCCCTTTGCAGAACGAACTGTGGGTTGATGGCCTGGCAGGATCCCACTGACTTCCATGCTGAGATTAGACCTGGCATGGCAAGAGCTCTCGGCAGATTGCAAACAGGCCTGTCTCCAGCGGGCTCGCGCGTAGGAGGAGGCGCGACGAGCAGGCCGGAGGCGGCATGGGGCAAGGTGACGGCATGCAAGAATGCGGCTGTGCTTGGATGAGGGGCTGTAGCCAAGTCCCCACCGGTCTGGCAGCAGAAGAGCCCTGTCAGTCCCTGGGGGTGCGGGGGGATCATCCCCATGAAACAACACTGCCCAGTATGGCCCCGATCCTGCCCCGAGCGCTCTGCCCGTGCCCCTGGGGTGGGTGGCCTTCCTTTCCCCAGCCGGGCTTTCTGCCCTGCCACCTCCTAAGCGTTTGCAGGACAAAGCCCTCCCTGCCGCAGGAGTCAGGACACGGCTTTCCGGCCACAGAGACGTTTTCCAATTACCGAAGCGAAGCCGCGTGCTACCCACGCCCCGGAGAGCCGGCAGAGAGACGGGCTGTGGAAGCAGCATGTTGGCCCATGGTGGCGCGGGGGTGTGGGGGCAACGCGCCCTTTTCCCCTCGCAGCCGCAGGAAGAAATGGTGACTAACACAGCGCTGCTCTGCCTCCCACGGTGCGTGGCTCTGGGGATGGAGCAGCGTGGCTCGGTGCACGTCTGCAGGCCACGGACCCCCCCGGTACCCTGCTCCGAAGCCTGCCCTCCTTCCCGGCCGGTGAGAGCCTGAGCTCCTGCAAGGGACATGGCCTGCGAGTCCCTGCCGCCCGGTCCAGCGGCCTGGGCTGATGTCAGAGGCAGCTCCGGCCGGCTCGGGCGTGCAGGGCCGAGCTCTGGCCTCATGCACGAGTCCCGTGCTGTGTGAGCAGGGGACACTCTTTGTTTTTCTGCTGCATCTTAGCCAAGAAGCAGGGCCTCTCCCAGGCTCCAGGGGCTCGGCCGCCAACTAAAATTACAGCCCACCCACACCGGGCAGGCAGTCACCCGGGGATTGCTGGCGGGCAAAATCCCCCCACCTACACCTACACTTACACCTCCACCTACACGGCAGCGCAGGGCGCCTGTCTGGAAGGGACTTCCTGGGTTGCCAAACCCCGTGCCTGGCTCCTTCTTCTCCGCCCGTTCATAAAGCGCCCGGGCTCCATCTCTGCAGATTTCCTGCCCCTCGCTCCTCTGGGGAGGCGCTTCCAGAACATCCCCGCTCCGGGGGTTAGAAACCTTCCTCCAATTCCCAGCCTAATTTTATTCCTGGCCAGTTCTTCCCCATTTGTTCTGGTGCCAGCATTGTCCTTTCGCCTAAATAGCTCTCCTCCCTGCCTGCTGTTTACCTCCCTGATGTATTTATAGAGAGCAATCATACCACCCCCCAGCCTTTGCTCTGCCAGGCAAACAAACCCAGCACCTCCAGTCTCTTCTTGCACGGCAGGCTCCCTCGTCCCCCGGCCCTCCTCCTCACATCCATCCCTTTTGAACGCATGGGACCAGAACCGCACCGGGACATGGGGCGCTGCTTACAGGCAAGGCGGGTCAGCGCGTAGCGCGAGTAACTGCACAGCAAAGCCAGGCCGGATCTGAGCTCTGCAGCAGTGCTTACAGTGTCACAAGCTCCTGCAAATCCCTGCCTGAATAAACCACCTCCGTGCATCGCATCTTCCGAGCCCACTTGTCTGCTTTCTAACTTAGTAATACCCAGTTTCAGGGAGTCGTTTGTAAAACCAGCCCAGAGCCCTCAACTCCAAGGCTTGTACAGCAGCCCGAGGTCCTATCAGTGTCAATGCGACTATGAAAGGCACGAGGCGCTCTCTGCAATGGGCTGAGGAGCCCTAATGAGGTGTGAACAGCTCAGCACCAGCAGCTGGTGGAGTGTGGGGAAGGGCAGGGCGTTCAGCGGAGTGGCCTCCTCAGTGCCTTGCGCAGTAGTGTTATTACTAATTGCTCCCTCCTGGAAATACCTCCCCGGTGCAGCCTGGGGTTGCTTTTGCTTTTTCTGCAGTCGCAGCACGATGAGGACTCGCAATCGTCCCGTGCCACTGGCACATGCGAGGTGTGTCTCCTCTTCTCTGGGATCCAGTTGATAAGCCCCTAGTTTATAGCAGAAGCTCTGGCTATTAACCCCTGGGTGCGCGATCCTGCACTTTGCACGTCTCATTCTTTGGCATAGCCCCAGTCCTCCAAGTCATCTAGGCCTTTCTGCCGGGTTTCAGACCTCTTTTGCCTTCAGTGCAACCCGCTGTCCTCGCCCCGTCAAATGCCTCTGCTCAAGCCCGCTTTCCCCAGTCTGATTGGCCTGTAGCTGCCTGGATCAACCGACTGATTGATCACTCTCGCCCTTCTCCCCCTATTCTTAAAGAGCAGCACGGTGTTTGTTGCCTGCCACCCAGGCAGTATCACCCCCATGGAAAGCACTTGATGCTGCGCTGCAATGCTGACAGGTGGTTATTCAGATCCCCGGATCGGGACGGATCGGGGTCTCTGAGCTTTGTTTCCACCTCGGATGTGGTAACGCCATCTCCGTCCCCTCCTTCCCATAGTCCATCCTGCCTTTGTGTCCCGTGTTTGATATCCTCCGCTCCACTGAAAACCGAAGCAAAGTATGCCGTCGGGTCGCGCCTAAACTATCTTCAGTCTAGATGCCGCCCTCACTGCCTGGCAGCCCGGCTTCCTGCGCTCTTTATTTATAGGGCTAAAGAAACTTCTGCTGTTTGTTTAATTTCCTTTGCAGCGGCTGGCTCAGCTTGGCCGTTGGCAGTTGTACTTCTCCCCTGCACTTTCTGGAGGGAGCTTTCTTTGCTTGTCCTCCCTCCCCGAACCAACTGCTCTTGGCTCTCTGTTCACTCCTAATATCCTTCCTGAGGGGGCTCTTCACAGCCAGGCCTAGAGCCCTTTGCCCCCTTGCTTTGCTTTGCATACAAACTCCAGGTTGCTTTGGACTTGGTTTTTCATAGGTCCCCCCACCAAATATGCCCACCCCACGCTTCAGTGTCACAGACTGGCTCGACGTGAGTGTGTTTGGGACCAGGGAGGAGCGGTGTACTGCAAACCCAGGAGACCTCATGAAGATGTCCTGCCTGGGAGCTGCCTCTCATGGCAGTCCCACCTCGGACACCCACCTCATCTGACCTTTGAGGACAGCTCTGTCACTCAAGGGGAGAGTGTCCTGGAGCCAGGGTGGCCACAGGACATTTAAGGGGCTACCTGTCAACACCGTCCCCTTCAATTCGAATCAGCAGTTAGTGCAGAACCAAAGGCTCTGGTACGATGCTCCAGCCCACCCACAGCCCGAGAGACTCGGGATCCCAACCAGTTGCACTTATTGCCCTTCCCTGCTCCTGGCGTCCAAATTCCCCATGTTCTCCAACCTCCTAAGTCAGCCCAAGGCGGCCCTCTTTGCTGCCAAGGCCACTGTCCCCAATCTGCTTGCCGTCACCCGAGAAAAGAGTCCCCAGTGGGGTGAGCGCTGACAACAAGGGGAGCCTTCCTAGAACCACAGACAACGAGGGAGGGTGGGAAGGGAGCTCAGGAGGTCGCATCTAGTCCAACCCCTGCTCCAAGCAGGACCAGCCCCAGCTACATCATCCCAGCCAAGGCTTTGTCTACCCGGGTCTTCAAAACCTCCAAGGATGGAGACTGCACCACCGCTCTGGGTAACTTGCAGTGCTTTACTACCCTCCTCGTGAGAGAGTTTTTCCTAATATCCAGCCTCAACTTCCCTTGCTGCAGCTTGAGCCCATTGCTCCTTGTCCTGTACCTGCCCCCACGGAGAACAGCCCAGCTCCGTCCTCTTTGCACCCCCCTGCAGGGAGATGAAGGCTGTTATCAAATCCCCCCTCGGTCTTCTCTTCTTCAGACTAAATGAGCCCAATTCCTTCAGCCTCTCCTCACCAGTCATATGCCCCAGCTCCTGAACCATTTCTCTTGCCCTCCACTGGACTCTCTCCAATGTGCCCACATCCTTTCTGTAGTGGAGGGCCCAAAACTGGACACAGGACTCCAGATGTGGTCTCCCCGGTGCTGAATAAAGGGGAATAATTTCCTCCCTCGATCTGCTGGCAACACCCCTACCAATGCAGCCCAGGATGCCATTAGCCTTCTTGGCACCAAGGGCCCGCTGCTGGCTCATATCCAGCTTATTGCCCCCTGTCACCCCCAGTCCTTGTCTGCAGAGCTGCTGCCCAGCCCGTCGGTCCCCAGCCTGCCCCGGTGCATGGGGTTGCTCCCTCCTAAGTGCAGGGCTTCATCCCTGGGACCTGAGAGCATACACTGGCAGCTGGCACGCGCGCGTGTTGTGCATGTGTGCATGTGTTTGTGTGTGTGTATATATGTGAGTGTATAAGGGCTGTCAGGGCAAGAGAGGGACATGAACAAAGAGCCTCTGCCTCCTGTGGCTTTCCAGCAGCGAATCTCTTCGGCCTCGCACGGGGTGAAGGGAAGACGAGGCCCGGGCCACGAACGCTAGGGGG